GTTCAGTGTAGTTAAAGAACAGCAGCGTTCACCCTGCAGCAGTGCTGTGTCATCAGTTTGAGACTTTGAGAGTTCCTGTTATTGTGTCTGTCTGCTGAGAGATACTGTTGACAGAGATTAAAAAAAAAATGTTTGCTCTGAAAAGAAAACAAAATTATGAGGGCATCAGGTTTAAAATGGTAATTATTTTTATATTTTCTTTTTGTTGTCACAATTTAGTGATCAACTGTGATTTGTGCCACATAATAATTTGGGATGTTTGCGAAATATTAAACATTGGCGTGTAACTCATTTTGTATAAATATGACATAAAATGGTTCAGCTTTTTAACTTTTCTAAATGATTTTACTTTTTTTTGTATGGCAGATGATAAAACAGGCACAAAAAAAAAAAAAATCTGTGAAAGAGGGACTCGAGCCATATCTAGAGACCAGAATATTACAGAGACTTGAGGTCAAGCTCTTTGTCGGTTTGCAACCACACAGAACACCCTAGCAAATACATAATAATGCACTAAGAACAGTCATAGCAATTGCAATTGGTAGCTACGGAGAACACATTTGCAACCACATAGCAATGCCCTGGCAACCACCTACAGTGCCTTAGCAACTATTAAGCAATGCGTTAAAAACCACAGAGAAAACCTTACGAGTTGCGACCCCTTAGCAATGCATGAAAAACCACTCAGAATACCTTAGCAAATGCGTAGCACCCACATAACTGTATAGCAATGCAGTAAAAATGACTCGGAACACCCTGGAAACCACCTATAATTCTTTAGCAACTCCTTAGCAATGCACTAAAATGACACAGAAAATATTAGCAACTGTATTGCAATGCATGAAAACCATTCGGAACACCTTAGCAACTGCATAGCAACACCCTAGTAACTGTATAACAGTGCACTAAAAACTACTCAGAATACAATGAAAACCAGCTACAAAGCCTAGCACATGCTTAGCAAAGCATGAAAAGTCACTCATAGCAAGTACATAGCAACACCCTAGTAACCAGATAACAATGCTCTAAAAACCGTTATGAACAATCCAGCAGATCCTAGAATATCACCATAGCAACCACCCACAACCACTTAGCAATCACATTGCAACACATGAACATCTTATCAATTACTTAGCAGTGCATGAAAAAACACAGCAACCACATAGC